TGTGATTCGCTGTGCATATAAATATGAGTACAGCGCTGTGTAGAGTAATTTAGTATTATGGCTGTATTCACTAATCTTCCATTGTTTTGAGTTACGACTTGCTAAGCCATCACTAACTAGCTAATCAATTATCACATGTCCATAACTGCAGGAACCAGATGCTTAAACTGCTTTCAGGGAACATTTGAGGAAGCCATTAAATCAGTTATAGTCAAATTTGGTGCAGTTTCAGGAATTTCATGGAATTATCAGCACTGATGGCAAAATAGTGGACTTTAATTTCATTCTTTCCCCCCAAAATAATGACTATATCCCCACAGCATTACAGTTTGTGAAGTATAAAACATGCTTTTTACACTTTTACCACTTATCTAGAAGTAGTTGCTACCACATGCTGTAAACATAGAAATTAGGTGACTTTGTACAAACATGAGCACAGAAAACAACATGACATGTGGGCGAATGGGAAAGAAGAGTTTGGGTGAACTCTTTTGTTATTGTAGCAACCAGCTGCCAAGCCTGAGCCAGTAGTCAGCAGTGTCGTTTAAGCCTCTAACGCTCCGTGTTTTAGACCATAAAAAAGAAGCTGCTGCTCATACTAATGTGTCTTAATGAGCGTGTAAAACTCATGTTGGATAGTTATGCTTTTATTTACCAACAATATTCTGTCGATTTATTTTCAAAAGTCTTATTTTTAGAAAGAGTATTTTTTCTAATCTTCAACCATATTTACCCACCTCTGCAGTATACAGAGAACAGTAAAACGTGGATATTCTAAACAAAAACTGTTGATTGCATAAATGATGCATTAGTGCAATATCAGAATTAGTGTAGTATCAGTGGTACTGCGCACTTTGCGTGTGAAATTAGCAGACTTTTTTCTCTTAGTCACTGTAATAACAACCATCAGTATAAACACATGGTCTTAAATAACAGCTGCCTAAAGTCAGGCATCATCTGCTAGCCCATGTTTTAGGTCTACTCTGTATTTCTAATGGATTTTTTTTTTTTATTGTGATGTTCTATTGTAATTTTGCTCCCAAATAAAATCTTGTTTACTACAAATAAAGACGAGTTTCCTCTGTGCCTTCACAAACAGTACCATGCAAAACTCTTGAGCTCAACCCCTCATTTATTTGTTTAAGTAAGTATACATGAAAATACAGTATATAAGGCAAAAACAGTTTGTACAATTCCATTGAACGTGAAAGTCAACATTTGGTAAAACCAACTTGATTCAGTATCGATCAGTCCAAGAGACCTGTTGCAGCTGATTTTTAGTCCATATGTCAGCATTTTCTCCTTGTTTCCCTTCCTTAAGAATGGCTTTTTGACAGCCTCCCCCCACACCCCACCCCACTGAGACCATTTCTGATGAGACTTCAGTGAACAGCAGATGGATCAGCTGAAGCAGAGAAAAACTTCTGAAATCAGATCCATTGTTAAATATCACTTTTAAATGAAAAGAAAGTCTGGCTCCTAGGAAGCAAAACATAAAGAAAGGAGGGGTGACTCTTCACTTTTGCACAGTAGTGTTTAATTAATCAATTTTCCTCCACTGCCTAAGCTAACTTCTTTCATAGTGTATATTTCAGCTGGTGTTATAAAGAATGTAACAACACTCAGTGAGACATGACGGCGGGAGCAATCACAGCACCAGGACTCTGATAGAGAAACAATCTAAATGGAATTAATGCATCATTTATTCCATCGCTTGTAGTTTTGTGCTGTGAAAACGACGTCTGTGCCAAAGGGTTAGCAGTTTTCCACTGTGTAAACAGGCTCGACGGTAAGACTGCAGCCACCCAAGTTTTAATTCTCTCTGACAAGGAGCAGCCAAGGGTCGCATTATGTATTCAGTGATGCACACGCTCTATCGGGGGTTGCGCTGACCCATTTGTCCACTAGGTGTTACCCTAGGAAAGTCCTCGCAGGAGCCCGTAACACGAGGACTGATCTAAACAAATCACTGATTTCTTTCAAACATCTCCACCCTCACTGTGGTGTCATTACAACGTGAGCTCTGGCTTTCCACAGCACAAACACCACATCATTGACTCACGGTAATAATAAGAGCTTTTCTCTTTGATGTGGGCGTCACAGTAATTGCAATGTGACTGTGACCTTGAGATGATTTTTATTTCCCTTAAAAAAATAAATAAAACCAAACTCTTTTCGTCACTGCAAACTCTTTTTCAAATCTTCAAGGACTTCTTCTCTTGTTTCCCCGTGTCGTGACTCAGAGCTTCCATCTCTCAGAGTGTTTACTTTAAAAAGGTCACTGAACACCCTCATCTGGAGCGTTCTGTCTTCACACAGCAATTCAGTAGACTCTTTCTTCTATTCCTATAGCTTTTCAAGTGGTTTTGATATGTTTCCAACTGAGAACACACTTGGCAACAATATGCACTTTTAATACATACGCCAGTCAAAAAAATAGCTCAAAACCATCTAGTCACAGTGGAGGAATGTGAGCACTACAGCATACACGTATCAGCAGGGAATCCCCTCCCCCCTGCCAAATGTTATAATGGCACTTTAAAAATATTCTTTCTCTGGCTCCTCACAATAATAATCAGACACTGTATATCCTACAGGATTATGAACTATGTAATCTATTTTAGTTTAACAAAAACAATGCAAGCATCTTTCTTCAGTGCGCATGAAACCAAAAAACAGTAATCTGTACTGTTGCATATCGTCGTTTCCCTGATTTGTGGTAGGTTAAGTCTCCACAGGATTACAAATCTACATGTTTTGTTCCTAAAAAAAGAACAGCATCATAACATTACAACCGCACATCACAGGGCTGCGATAGAAGTACTTTAATCCCTTTATGTCTGTGTTGCCAGCTAGAATATTTAGTCTCACTGGACCTCACAGTTTGGTCTGGTGATGTGACTGAGAATATGGATTTATGCTCTTCAACAAAGAAAAAAAAAAGAAAACTTTATTTTTGCAGGCTAACTCTGACATTAATCTAGTCTCTAACCACTTTTACTCATGTATAGGCATATAAACTGATGCAGTTAGTTCTTCTAAAGCACTTCGGTACCCTAAGTAATACACACTGAGAACTTATAACAAAAGGTAATTAAATGAATAGTTGGACCTTTTGTGAAATGCCCTTTTCCCCCTAGTATCTCTAATTTTGTGCTAAGCTAAGCTAACAGACTGCTGGCTATAGCTACATATTTACTGTATAGACAAAAGTGTGTCACCATAGACTGTATATGAAAGATGGATGTAGCTTTTGCGTTGGAGGAGTGTCTTTAGGAGTGCCTTATTTTTGTTTCTAAGAAAAATGAGAGCCACATATGAGGATATTCCTTTAAAATTTGATAGAACAGCAGCAGTAAGTGGATATCAGGCCCTTGTAGAGCAAAATGTAGTATTTTGGTCTAAATAACCCAAAATGTGATGTCCACATATGTGGACGCCAGGGTTAAAAATGCTTTTTAACAGCTAGCAAGAAAGCGTCGCCTGTGATTTCAAAAGAAATCCGGTTTCATAAAAGTCTATGGGAAAGCAGCTGCTGAGCCCTCAGTGAACACTTATCTGATGAGTTTTTAGGCTCTACTTTTCAATCTATGATGATACTAAATAACGTTGTTTGTGTAAATTTTAGTCCCCATTTGTATGAAAAATAAACGCTTTAATGTGAGCCTACTTTGTGACTGACAGGTTTCTACTGTATGAGCTTGCAGTGTCCCTCAGCTTTATATTCAGATCTGCCTGCAACTGTGAGATTTGGTTTAAAGGAGCTAACATGACAATGTCCATCTTCTTTGTACAGTCTACGGGTGACAGCCAGCGTACAGCAGAAAGGATTTATGTTTTAAGGAGAAAAAAAAAGCCTGCATATAGAGAGACACTTTCCTCATACACTACCAACCGCTTCCTTCTGTGGACTGATGGCTCTGTGAATCAGGTGAAGCCTATAAGCTCGCTGCTGCTCAGGCAGAGTGACTGCCGGGTGATTGGTGGACTGCGATTGGAACTGTTCCTCACACGTAGTGTTCACGGTGGTTGATGTACACCTGGTCTGTCCCACTCTGATGACACACCCACTCCAGACGGGAGCGCTGATGGGTGGGGCTTTGGGCTCCCCGCCTTGCTGTGGGTGGGTGCTGCCTCTCCGTGACCGTGTGCCTGTGCTCTGCCCTGCGAGTCTGTATATTAAAAGCAAAAAAACCCCAAATCATCACCTAAATCATCTTCTATCATCGTCACCCTTTAGGCCTCTATAATGTGAGAGACTCCAAAAAAGGACAGGGAAATAAAAAATTAAACTCTCCAACATATTAAACTAATAAAGCCAAAGAGCCTCCTGCTTAATATAAACAGATTATGACATGAGTTAGCTCGTTGTTACTGCTGCTTGTTGTGACTCAGTGCGCTTCATTCAGTGTTAATAATTGTGGTGTAGAGCTGTCATGATTCACATACGTGACTTTCAGCTGGTTGTAAAAAGAAAGTGGGGTTTTACCTGACACAGCCAGGCCACTTGTGACGCGTGGACTCCCAGAGGAACAGCCGGTGCTCTCTCGGAGTAGGGAGGAGGCGGCTTGTGTGTCGGAGGAAGGTCAATCCTTCAGAGGAAGAAAAAGGGGAAGAAGAAATGTCAATGGAGACAAATTTCAGAGTGGAAAAACACAGTACTCGCAAAGAAACAGAATAAAACGATCAGCGATAGATAAAATCGGTACAAAATCAATTTACTGGATCAAATTTGAAGGGCAGCCACTATAATGAGTTCCTTCTGAGGCATATTGATGTTGTTTATGGTATCCTGCGATAAACTTTGATGAGATGGATTCACAACAGAAGAGGCAGCAAAATCAACTTGATGTGCAGAGCTTTAAAGATGTGAGAATTTTTTTAGGCGGAGACGATGAAAAACAGACGCTCTGTGGAAAACATCGGAGCCTACAGAGGCCCTGAGGTGCAAAACACAACAACACAAAGGCACAAGATTTCAGAAAACATGGCAGAGAACTACAACAACAACAACAACAAACAAACAAAAATCACAAAATGATGATGCACTTTTTCGCCTTTTGCTGTGGTTGTGTTTGTCTTGTGTGTTTCGTCAAATAGTTTTTATCATTTGCACCTCAGGGCCACCGTACAGATACTGCATGTCTGAAACTTGATGAAATTTTGCCTCTCTTTTTATTTTTAAATGCATCTTGCAAGTCCTGCAGTTTAATAGTCCTAGACAGGGTATTCCTCGAAGCCCTGGAATCCATTATTACAGATGATTAAATGAAGATGGCTCAGTGTACATGACAGCAGGTGTATGAAAGTGATGGACTTCCACACGGACGAGTAAATTAGAACATTTTCTGACAGCTGTTCCTCTAAACCCCTGCAAGACGCTGAAGTCAGACTCGCTCCCTCGCTGGCTGAAATCCCCCTGCCTGCTAAACTGAAGCCTAAGAACAAACCTCAGCCATTCACAATACAGCGTCATGACAGGCATCGATTTTCTAACACTGTGTGTCACTTAATGCCGAGTCTCTCTTTCATATTTGGGATTCGAAGTGACCGATTACAGTCAGAGCTTCTCATTGACCCGCCGTCTTACTCTCACGTCTGCGTGTGATGAAGGAGGTGATGAAGCCTCCTCCTCCCCCTACCCATGCCTTGTTCCACTGGGACTTCCAGCCACGGTCACACTTAAGATGCTAAGTTTGTCGTGGCATTGACCAGCCTGACACACGGGCTACATACATTGAACCTGCACCCAGAGGCTGATGGGTTGTTCGTTATTCAAGCCGCACCTTTGAGGCGCAGTTGGGAGCATGTACACTAGATTTCTTCTGACGACGCAGTCGCTGAAATTAGGATGTAAATGTTTACATGGGAGAATAAAATTGGATTGAGGGAACAAATGACTGAGTGTTCTTATTTAGGACGATGATAGAACACATACTTGTGTCCTGGTAATTAAGATAAGATAAGATAAAACTTCATTAATCCCTCGGGTGGGTTCCTCTGGGAAATTCGGTTTCCAAAAGCACAGCACCGACAGAAGTTACAGAACGTGAGCAGAATATTATATATATACACATCTATAAATACAGAGACATATATAAATAAAATATA